TTGCATCGGTCTTGCTTTATATTGGTCTTAACCATCCATCAGAAAAGTATAAAAATGAAGCATAAGAAGTAAAGCCATGCTGTTATGTTGAGCTGTAGAGGACTCAGGTCCACAATTTCTGACATTGCCAGGGAAGCAGAAGACCCAATACTATTATGGACTACAGGACTCTTTTAGACTATTTTGATGAGTCAACACACCTATAATATTCAAATAACGGAACTGAACAAACAAAGGGGATACAGATGAATGTCCATTTTGTATCTGTGTATTCAAAGTGATTAGGATAGATATATAGTTACATTCTCTTAGTTAATAGAATGATTTGTTCTAATGGTGTTTGTAAATGGGATGTCAGGTCCACATCTTGTACAGCAATTAACCACTAAGAAGAATGTATGCATTGTGTTAATTATTGAAACTGTCCTATGGATTTGATTTGAAACTGTCTTACTGCTATTTATTTATCAATAAAATTATGGCCAAAAAAAGGGATACAGATGAATGTCCATTTTGTATCTGTGTATTCAAAATGTTTAGGATGGATATATAGCTATATTCTCCTAATGAATAGAGGGATTTGTTCTAATAGTGTTTGTAAATAGGATATCATGTCTGCATCTTGTACAGCAAATAACCACTAGGAATAATGTATGCAATGTGTTAATTATTGCAACCGTCCTACTAATTTTGTTTGAAACTGTCTGATTGCTATTTGTTTCTTAATAAATTTATGGGAAAAAAAACAAAGTAACTATGAAAATGAAATGGCATTTATCAGATGATTAAAATTTGAACTCTATATGAAAAAATATTGAAAAAAATGAAGATGAGTTATGTACATGTACAGCTCCACATTGCTACAAATATGTACTAATGAAAAATAAAATTAGAAAAAAAAGGATGGTTAGGGAAGTTGTCCTATGGTAGGAAACAGCACATGCAGAATATCTGAGAAGTTAATTGTCTTCAGTTGCTTCAAAATGGAGTCTTAAACTTACTGTGGAAATTTCATCTAAATTTTCCAAATGTGGGCTTTTTCATGTCAGTAGAACATTGATGCTTCTGATTGATTACTTTCTAAAACTTTAATTAAGCATTGGAAAAATGCAGTACAAATTAATTCCATTTTTAACATGAGAAAAATGTACTGAACAAAGTTAAAGTAATAGCTTAATCACTTTCACCAGCTGATGTGTTCCTGGTGTATTCAAAGCCTGGCCTCTCCAAGTCCCACCCATTTGTCTCATGTCATGTTCCACATCACCTCCCTAAGAAAATCTTCCTGTGCCCTTCCTTCCACCCTGACTGTGCATGGATTAATGCAGCATACAACATTTTCTTTTAAAATGGGGCTCACCACTGTCCTTTTTGTGGTTGAAATTTTGCATTATAAGAACATGTGCTTCGTGCTTTGGTGGCAGTCTTACATTAGCTATTTAAATATTTGTTCTGCCCCTTAATTATTTTTATAGTAGGTAAATGAATTAAACTTCTCATTACTGAGTCTGTGAAATGGGACAAATTGTAACTATTACCCAGGAAAATGCACATAACTCATTTAATCTATTATTTGGCTTATGGTATTGAATAATTAATTGTTCCTGTTGAACAACTCCATGCCTGGTGTATTTCAGATAAATAAATTTTGTTAGTGAAGTTAATTATTTCAACTTCTGACTGTTGCCTAATAATTATCTCAGCCTACCTCTTAATTATTGTTATTTTTAGGTCCTTTATTTTCTTCAATTTTAATTTTTATCTTTACATGTTTGCAGTACATAAAGATTACTCACGTTTCTCCTGGGAAGTTGGGTCATGTACATAACGCATTTTGCTCTTTTTTCTTTTCTCCCCCTGTCTCCTGATCCTCCATCTCTTGGTCCCCTTTCTCTTGCAAAAGATTTATCACTTTAATTCCTCTTACCCCTGTTTTTATTTTCTCTTCATTTATATATTGGGTTTCTCACATATATTCCTCAACTTTTACATAGAAGTTTATTCATCAGGTCAGACATAATTAGAATATGAGAGAAATGTTTGATTGACATCTTGGCAAATGGTACTGCAATAATTGCTCCTTCTTGGAGTATATACTTCAGAAGGAAGTCCCTTGTTTGCATAAAAGTTGGATATTCACCTGTGAGAATCAAATGAACTCTCAAATTTGCTTTAAAGTACTCTGGGCAGAACAAATCTCAAAGCAGATCTTCTCCTAGACATTTTCAGGAGTTAGGCCTGGGTTGCACAGTGGTTTTAGAACAAAATCTGAGTTCGTTCTAGGTACCAGTATATTGGGCATTGATTGGTAAATGTAGAAAAGAACCAAGCAAACATTGAAAGAATTAGTTTCAGAAAATATGTTATCCAGGGATCCTTTTAACAACTGCTAGTATTTTTTTATTTTTTAAAATATGGAATGCTTCACAAATTTGCATGCTATCCTTCAGCAGGGACCATGCTAATGTTTTCTGTATCATTCCAATTTTAGTATCTGTGCTGCCAAAGCAAGCACAACTGCTAGTATTTGGTATCTAGATTTGCTGTACAAATGTCTGCTTAGTTCACGAGTCTATATCAGCTGAATTCCTCTGCAAAAGATTATGAAAACTGAGTCTCATAGGAAATGAAATTTGTTCTTGCAGCTGAAGGCATCCCTCTTTGTGCAAATCCAAATTCTATTTGTACAGAATGCTAATGCATGTGCAATTTGGTGAAGTTTCTTGTCCACATAAGTGCAGGACAGGCTGAGAGCTCCTGAACAAGCGGGATGGGGTAAGATGGGTAAGCAATGCAAAATTTCTTCCTTTTATATTACTTCAGGGTTTTAATTTCTTAAAATATTCATTTTTCTCTTTTTGTATCATTCTGTCTCTTTTTGTCCTTGTGTCTGTCTGTCTGTCTGTCTGTCTGTCTGTGTCTTTCTCTCTCATTTTTTAATATATTAAACTGAGATGACTATTTTGCCAGTCATGCACAGTTCATGCCGCAGAAAATGCTGGCAGTCTACAGCAAATGCTTTTGCATCTGTGGGAAGCCAACTCATGTAAGTCTCAGTGTTGAGTTGTACAAAAATGAACCCTTTCTCTTTAGTAGTTTGGTGGAACAAAAATCCGTTTCATTCACTTGCCAGTATCTTTGTCTGATACATACTAAAGACCACAGTCAGCAAGTGAATTGGGTAAAAACTTGACAAAATTAATTTGAAATATATGATGTTCTTTAAAAAAACTTCCTTACATTACACTATGTTCATGTTTCTCATCCTTTTATCATTTCTTTTCTATGTTTCTCCATTTTGTTGTCCTTTTTTTCCTGTTATACCTTTCTTCCTCTTTTCTTACCACCCCATCTTCCTCTTTTTTGTCCTCTCTCTCTCTGTCCATATGCACTTCTTGTGCTTGGTTTAAATGTTGATTTCATTAATATCTTCTAGTCCTGCCTAGAGAGATGGGCTCCATTAAGCAATTATTTGAATAGTGAAATGGATTTGAGTCAAACTCGATAAACAAACATTTTTGTTATGTATAGTTTAAGCAAATGGATTAATAAATTGAAAAGACAACAAGTATCACAAAACAGAAAAGTGAATTTATCATAAATTCTTTTGTTGATAATGGATTTTTCCTCCCTTTCCTTTCTCTTTTCTCCATATTTCATCAGATGATCATTATATTTTTTATTTTTCCTTATTTCCTTTGTTCTTACTCAATCAGCTTAAGTGTAAATATATATTTTGTGTTTCAGAGTGATTTATAGAAACTTATTAAAGTTTTCTTTATTGGTACTTACATCGTGTAACAATTGTGGGAAGTTGAAAATTATTTTTATTTTCACAAGAGTCATACAAATATATTTATCCTGCTATCAACAGGCAAACAAAGAGTAGAGACACAAAGTGAATTAATATTTATATTTAGCAGGATTGTTTGACTCAGGATTTCAAACTATGTCTTTCTATTGAAGTCTATTTTTGTTTCTTTGTTCATTAGTGCATTTTAAACTTCCTTTTCTCTTTTGTTGTATCTCATTTTCTGAGTCTCTTGCCTCATATTTTCTTCTGAAACTGTCAAGAAATGTTTAATGAATATTGACATTTTGGTCAGCAGTAGGTATCCAAAAATAAATGAGACTATAGTTGGCACAAGGCGCATTTTGCCTTTAAAATTCATTGCGTTGAATGCAGAGATGAGAATGAGTTGCCACTGCAAGAGCTGTTGTGGACGTTTATCACAAGAAAGTGGTGGGATGGTAAAGTACCACTTACAGTGCTGAGGAAGCTGAGGGAATTCTGAGAAGACACAGGAAGAAGTATGGTCCATGAAGAAAACATTCTTTGTCCCTGAGTGTTTCTGTATGACTTCCAATTAGCAGAACAATTTTGAATTTCCCTGATCAGTATATCCACAAAATCTCAATGTAAAATACACACATCTTTGTGTGTGTGTGTGTGTGTGTGTGTGTGTGTGTGTGTGTGTTTGTGCGCGCGCGCATGCGTGTGTCCTGAATATTGTGCCTGATCTTCTTTGGTTTAATGAGACTTGTTAATGGTCTTTTCCTCATCACAATTGCAATTGTGAAATGCAATTACAAATTTTCATTCTTTTTGTTTGTTTGTTTTAGAACATCGAAAGCAAAGTAGGAATTTCTAAAGAACAAATTAAAAACTTTCAAATTGGCAATTTCAGACTATGACAAATAAAAGTTAAACCAGGAGTCATAACAAACACCGGTAATCCCAGAACTTGGGAAGCTGAGGTAGAAGGATCACAATTCTGAGGTCAGGCTGGGATACCCAGTCAGTTGGAGGCTCGCCTGGAATACATACTGACTCTTTGTCTAAAACAAAAATTTAAAACTTTTTCTGCTTGCTTTGACTTTTTAGAAAACTAGGAAAAAAAGCTTCTAAAGATATACTTATTCATTCAAGAAAATTCCTTTTCAAAATGGATATGACTTTCAAAAAAGTATAATCATCCCTCTCATAAACTACCTTAACACTGAGGATGCAAAATGTGACTGAGTTCATCTTGTTGGGGTTGACCCAAAACATGGAGCTGCAGAAAATTTCATTTGTTGTGTTTTTAATTGTTTACCTGGTCACCTTTGTGGGCAACTCACTCATCATAATCACCATCAGGACCAGCAGGACCCTAGGGTCCCCTATGTACTTCTTCCTGTCCTTTTTGTCCATTATAGATATTTGCTATTCTTCATCTATGACTCCTAAGATGCTGGCTGACTCCCTGTCTGTGAGGAAAACCATCTCTTTTAGTGAGTGCATGACTCAGGTCTTTGTTGATCATCTTTTTGGTGCTGCTGAAATCATTCTTCTCACAGTGATGGCTTATGATCGCTATGTGGCCATTTGTAGACCCCTGCACTATGCAATCATCATGAACCGACAGGTGTGCAGCCTCCTTGTTGTAGTGGCTTGGGCTGGGGGCTTTGTTCATGCTGCCATTCAGATTTTCTTTACAATCTGGCTGCCCTTCTGTGGCCCCAATGTCATAGATCATTTTATGTGTGACTTGAACCCTTTGTTGAAACTCGTCTGCATCGACACCCACATTCTTGGTCTCTTTGTCGCTGCCAACAGTGGCTTCATTTGCCTGTTGAACTTCCTCCTCCTAATAGTCTCTTATGTGATCATACTGTACAATTTGAAGTCTCACAGCTTGGAGAGCAAGAATAAAGCCCTGTCCACCTGTGCCTCGCACATCACTGTCGTCATCTTATTTTTCATACCCTGCATATTTGTGTACTTGCGCCCAGTGGGCACTTTCTCCATTGATAAAGCTGTGGCTGTGTTTTATACCATGATAACACCTATGTTAAACCCTCTTATCTACACTCTTAGAAATGCAGAGATGAAAAATGCTATGAAAAAACTCTGGGTAGAAAATTGACTTCAAAGGAGAAACAATGAAAAAACCAAATTGCTGTCTTGTGAATATTGAAGTAGAACAGCATATCATACCTAAGATTCTAGGCCAAGTAAAGGGTACATGTGCAAGTATGATGTTGGTGGTAGACAGATCTTTAGAGAAAGGATTCACACTAAGTTCCTTAGTATTATAAAAATAATCCCATTTAGATTGATTCACTGATCATATCCTTATGAAAGTTTTTTGTGCTGTCAGAATCATTGTACATTCTTAAGCCGTAGCCATAGCAACTTAATGCAGCACGATTGTTCTCTAAGTAAATCTGCATTATAAATAAATTATGCAGATGTTTCTTAGCTGATGATATGAGCTTAAATTTGGGGCAATGCTTGCATATATTTCACTTGTTTCCTCAGTTCGTCATTGAATCATGGCTACTTTTCCTTGGAAAACCTGTGACAGCAGAAATCATGAGGACTATGAACCCTCAGTTTTTCATAAATCTTGAAATGCATGTGTATTACATCTGAAATTACTCAATAAAAGGAAACATTTGGAGGAAACAGAAATGTACCTAAGTTTTCTTTGACTTATGTGAGGAATAATAGTACTAGCTGACTAGAGTTAAAGGAATATTTAAGTCCAGAGTGATTTTTCTATCTGCTTTTTTATATCTGTTCTGTCCCTTGTCTAATCTTTAACCTTACCTCCAGCCCTGGGGCTGATACATTTATGTGTGTGATTTTTCTCTTGACTAACTTGCTTAAGGCTTACATGGTCACTTTGCAATGACTCTAGGTCAATACAGCAGGTAACAAGAATATGAGCAGACATGCAATAGTGGTACATTAATTCAAAGGATGTAGCATGGAGATACTCTCCAAATTTCTATTTAGTTTTATTTGATTTATTTTGACTTGAGGGGATTTTACAAAATGTATTTAGTATAGGGTCTAGGGGGTCACACTACACAGATTGGACTTATCGTGGTCTTTCTGTTTTGAAACTCCCAAGCACTGAGATTACAGATGTATACTACCACACCCAGTCTCAATCTCCATCTCAGTGTGCCCCTGGTCGGGGTGAGCACAGCATGTGAGGGATTGAATCCTGATACCTGCCTTTGCCTAAGCAGGTGCTTTAATCCACTGAGCTATCAGGCCAGCCCTAGAGGGGAATGTTATTAAAATCTTTATTCTATAATTACTTATTGGTCTGTCATAATGATCTTTTGTCCGTGGTAATATAATAACAAAGGTATTAACCTCTTTATTCTGCAACTATTTTGTCTGTAATAATTACGGTAGTAGTTCTGGCTCTTTCATACATTTTTAATATAATTTAAATGATTTAACTGATTATTAAAATTGTCAGACGCACAGCAAACATTATAATGTGTTTTTAGGTTTTAATTTTTATTTGTTTGACCTACTTAGAATTTAGCTTTTTTCTGATTTTATTTTTATTTGTTTTTGTATTAATTTTATTGAGAAACAAATAGCAATGAGATAGTTTCAAAACTGATTAATAGGACATTTTCAATAATTGATGCATTGTTCATTGTTATCTTCTTAGTGATTATCCATAGTAAAAGATACAGATGTGATATCCTGTCTGAATAGTCCAAACACTATTAGTACAAATGTTTCTTTTCACTGAATTAAGTGAAAGTAGCTGTACATCTATCCTAACTATTCTGTATATTCAGATACAAAATGGTTTTTTCTTTGTATACCCTTTTTTGTTAGTCATGTCAAAGATGGGTATTCCATCGCCATCTAAGTACTATACGTGCGTGAATTAAGCAAAACAATCCAACACAGTCCAGCAGTCCAAAATAGTAGTGGGTTATCCACAAGACTTCAATGTGAGAAGTTGTTGACTTCAGCTTTTCACAGCTCAGCATATTAATATGGCTTTATTTTTATACCTCAATTTTATATTTTTCAGCTGGATGGATAAGACCAAGATAAAGCAAGACCTATATAAGGGGAAATGTAACTTTTGTATCTGATAAGGTCAGTCAAGTACCCTCAGGATTTATTCTGTAACACTGTTCCGCAGTTTGTAGATCCTTTGTCAGTGTCAGCCATGTGGATGAGTCATGGCCATTGCTTGAACAATTTGCTGTCTGTTAAATTTGAGAGAATGTTTTCTCTCCATGTGACTCTCCTTTGGCACAATGTACATCACAGATCACTTTCCTCTGTGGCCCCATAATCTCCTTGATCAGAAAATTTTGGATACAGCTGAGTCACATGATGGTACAGTATAGGGTCATCTATGTCCTGAGTCTTCACTGACATTGAAAGGCTAGGGTCACAATGTTGGTTGTCCTTGCAGCCCTTATATTTCTCTAATTGTTGGTCTGCAAAATTAGGTTGTTAACTCTCCAGAAGAGAAGCTTATTATTACCCTAAAACATATGCAGTTGGGTTTTTTCCATAATTTTATTGATCAACAAATAGCAATGAGACAGTTTCAAATCAAGTTGTTTGGACAGTTTCAATAATTAACACATTGCATACATTCCTAACAGTGGTTAATTGCTGTACAATGCGGACATGATAGCCTATCTACAAACACCATTAGAAAACATCACTCTATTTATTAAGAGAATGTAACTATATATCTATCCTAACCACTTTGAATACACAGACAAAAATTAGACATTCATCTGTATAACCTTTTTCTGTTAAGTTCAATCATTTAAATATAATAGGTGTGTAAACTCAGCAAAATAATCTAAAAGAGTTCAGTAGTCCATAATAGTATTGGGTCTTCCACTTCACTGGCAATGTCAGAAATTGTTGACCTGAGTCTCCTATAGCTAAACATAACAGCATGGCTTTACTTCTTATATTTCATTTTTGTACTCTTCTGCTGGGTGGTAAAGACTAAGGTAAAGCAGGATCTATACAACAAGAGTTGTAGCTTTTGTGTTTAATAAGGTCAGTGACATTCCCTCAGGATTTATCCTGAGATCCTGTACCTCAGATTGTTTGTCAGTGTAAGATATGTGGATATGTCACGGCCATTGCTTGGTCAATATGCCCTCTGTGAAAACTTGAGAGAATGTTTTCTCTCCATGTGACTCTCCTTAGGCACATTCTACATCATTGATCACTTTCTTCTTTGGCCCAATAATCTTCTTGATCAGAAAATTTGGGGCACTGCCAAGTAACATGATGTTACAGTACAAGTTCTCCTATGTCCTGAGTCTTAATTGACCTTAGAGGGTCAGGGCCAAAATGTTGGCTTTCCTTGCAGCCCTCCTTTTCATCTAATTTTGGTCTGTAAACTTAGGCTGCTAAGCATCCAGAACACAATCTTATTGTTATTACCATACAACTTAGGCTGTTAAGCTTAACCTCACTATCTGTCTGCATATCAAACATCTTAGATATAATATGGAACAGGTATTTTTCATCAAGTATTGATATGTCGAACTTTAAGTCCCTACAGAATATGATAAAAACATTTAAAAATTAGAATATATTTTAAAAATAGGCATAAAGAATTATATACTTCTTATGTTTACACATAAGTCCCAAAATCTCACCATATACAACCTTGAAGCAGGACAGTCCCACAATATTCCTTTTCCTGACTTTTGCTTTCATTCACTACCTCCTTATTTTTGAACAATGATCTACCAGAGAGACATCATAGCAGCAACTGGCATGTCATGAAAAGCAGCCCGTATTCAGAGACCGGAATGACAGGCACTGCAAGCATGAAACTACTATTAAAGATTACCATCTGTAGTGCATTTGCTTAGTTCACAGGTATCAGTATATATAGTTATACAAGGTGAGAATCTTTCCAAATAACTGCTAGATTAAAAAAAATCTATGGAGATTCTCAGGATCATTGCTTTGCCCATCTTCTACATATAACTGTATGTCTTGACATTGTCATGTTTCCTAACTCTTCCCCTTTCCCTCTCTTCATTAGTTTGTCCTCGAGATCCTGCTTCCCTTTTACTTATATTTTACCTTTCTATTTGTATTTCTTCTGTTGAGATCTTATACTAGGGAAACTATACTATATTTACACAACTGTGTCTGGTTTATTTCACTCATGAGTATATGTTCAAGTGGCATCCACTTCAACATAAAGGCTGCAAGTTTACCATTCTTAATAGCTGAGTAATACTCCATTGTGTAAAAATACCACATCTTTTACAACCATTCCTCAGGTGATGGGCATCTTGGTTGTTTCCATGATTTGGCTATCACAAATTGTGCTCCTATAACCATAGGCACACATATATCACTATGATATGATATTTTCAGATCTCTGGGAAAATTCCCTGTAGAGGATTAGCTGGTTTAAATGGGATTTCCAGTCCAACTTTTCTAAGGACTCTCCATACTGATTTCCATAACTGTTGCATGAGTCTACATGCCCACCAGCAGTGGAGAAGGGTTCCTTTTTCCCCACAGCCTCTCCAGCATTTGTTGTTGGGTGATTTCTTTATGATAGCCATTCTTTCTAGGGTGAGATTATATCTCCATTATGTTTTAATTTGCATTTCATGGATGGCTAGTGATGTGGAGCATTTTTTCATATATT